TTGCTCTCATTGTCATCGTCATCGCTATCAGAAACAAGAGCTTCGGCATCAGCTTCGAGTTCTTTGGCCCTTTTTATCTCTTCAGCGAGATCGAAGCCACGAGCATGGNGGGAAAGTCTAAGGGAGTTCTTCTCGTCAGTAGCCAGTTGTAGGTCGGCCGCGTATCGATGCAGCTCATTCTGGGATCGAGAACATTGTTCTCGATGAACTGCCGCTGCCTACAAAGAAAAAAGAAGCAGAGTTAACGAAAAACGAACATAAAGATAGTACCGACAAAATAATTTTAAAAGCTCACCTGATTCAAAGCCTGCCGCAATCCGTGAAAAAAATCTGACTCATCATCAACACCAGCAACGTCCTCAATACCGGTAAACATGTCACGAAAGGGATCTTCTTTATCGTGAGGCATGTCTAGATCGAGGGCTCCTAGAGCTTGAGCTTCCCTAATCACCCCTACGGAAAAGGCGGGAAAGGTAGGCGAATCCTCGATTGCTGCTGCCCCAAATGAATCGCCTAGAGCTTTCTCCTCGGTTCGAAGGGGTTCGAGGGCCTCTTCGGTCATATCCCCTGCCAGTTGACTCCGATGAGATGTGTCTTCGATATCCTATAGTTCGGGGACTCTACCCGAATCTTTCTCCGGTATATCTTCAGTTCGAGGCAGAGTCTCATGGAGCATCATCGATCCAACCGGCGATGAGGCATCGGTGGTTCTCTTCGTTCGGACCGCCAGCACGGACTCATCGTTCTCTTCTTCTTCTTCTTCATCATCTTCATCCCTTAGACGCAGAACGGATTCCACGGTCAAAGGGATGACATTCTTGTTCGGCTTATGAGCTGTCCTCTTCTTCGGTTTTGGATCTTCGGGAACCGAGGCTCTTTTCCTTTTATTTTCCTTCACCGGCTTTGGGAAAGAGGCCGAAATTTCCTCCCCATTGGACAAGGGCCTCAAAATTGCGTTTTTACCCAAACCTGCATATGGAAAACCTTAATAAAATATTTTGAAAACCACCTCGTTCGGATCATCAAAGAGTCCGAGAAATGAGCTTACCGTGATTTTTGGCCTCCCAATGACCCTTTGACAAATCACGCCATGAGTGCTCGGCGTATGTGGAGGTCGAAACAAGGGCTCGTACCCAGTTCTTGAGATCGAGAATTGCTCCGGGCATCCAGGGAACCGCTACATCAAAAAAAAAGGAGTGTCGATGAGAGAATAAATGAAAGAAGAAAATAGAAGTAACAGCAAGATCATACTTACGTTTCATATTCCACTCCTCGGGAAAGGGCATCTTTTCAGTCGGAATCAGGTCCGAAGTCCTTACTCGAACAAACCTGCCCATCCAACCCCGGTCCCTATCCTCGTCAATACTCGAGAACAGAGCCTTGGTAGCCCGACGCTGGAGTTTTATTAACTCTCCTTGAAAAATTCGAGGACGGTACAATCAGATAAGATGATCAAGGGTGAACGACATCCCCTCGATCTTGCTCACAAAATATCGGATCAGGATAACGATCCGCCACAAAGAAGGATGGACCTGGCCTAGGGTTACCTGGTATTGTCGACAGAATTCAATAATAACGGAATCAAGGGGACCCAACGTGAAAGGGTAAGTATACACATTCAAAAACCCTTTCACATAAGAAGTGATATCTTCGTCGGGCGTAGGAATTATTATTTCTTTCTCACCCCAATTGCAATCCTTCTTTAGTTGTTCGAGGTGCTTCTCGGTTATCGAACACATGTACCTCGATACCGGCTCACACCGGCCAGGGACCGATGAACCTTTATCGACCTTAAAATCTAAAGTAAGGACACATGCCCTGGGAACACACTCCTCAGGCCGTGGTTCTGCCGGTGTCTCATCGGCGGCACACTGTGAAGATGAAGCCTTCTCTTTCTGAGGAATGGTTTGCGATGTTTTCGCCATTTTCGAATTCAAAGGTGAGGAGTAGAAATGACAAAGATTTGGTAGAATTGAAGAGGATTTTTGCGGAAAGAAATCACAGGTTTAGTGGTAAGTTGGAGAGTACGAAGAAGAACTTGGGAAATTTGGAAGATAGAAGATGTAAAAATGGTAGAAGATAAAAGAAAGGGTTATTTATAGGTTCAAGCGATGGCGGTTCAGTATCAATAGTGGCCGACCACCGCCTGACATGCATTAAATGCCTTGAAAGGCTAAACCGACGGGACAGCTACCAGATGCGTCATGGCCGAACCCGATGGAAACGACAGGATATAATCCGATCGAGCTGTTAAAAAATCATATCGTTTCTCGCCACATTCTTTCTGAGAAACGAGGGGACTATCCGTATACGGTTGAAATAGATTTCGGCCTTAGCACGTCCAATCGAGTACAAATAATGATTTATCGAAGTAAGATCCCGAAGGTGGAACAAACTAACCTCGAACCTGGGGAGGCCGATCCGTGTCGAGTTCGATATCATTATCAAGCTCGAATCAAAATCGAACCATGATGCAGAGTAGATCTATCATGTTGATAATCCATAGACCAACCAACATTGACCTCGAATTAATTCGAGGGCTCGAGCCAGGATCGGGCTCGAACCAAGATCACGAGTTTGAGCCGAAATCAAGCTCAAACCAAAATCGAGGGTTCCAAGCAAGATCGAGCTCGTAGACAAAAACCGTTGCAATCCCACTAGAGAATCTTGATAGAAATTATGAAAAAGCTGATTTATCATGGGTCTCCCACTGAATGTTTATTTTATTATGCTTAGAGCCAAATCCCTCCACTATAAAAGGGCTTGGTTACTATTTCTGTAGGATAAGTTTTTTCTCAGGCTTACATTGTAATAAAAGTGTTATATTCTTCTAGAGTAAAGAATCGTTCTTTCAGATTTCTTACATTTATTCTATTTGTTGAATCCTAAGATTCATTGTTCCTGACAACCTTATCTATTTCGCATTCTCTGCAATCTATATTTACATTTCTATTGATCCTTACATTTTGTGTTAAGTTACGCCACATATCCTCGGAACTGCGTATAAATTCAACTCTATCCATTTTTCGGGTAAACACATCTATAACACAAAAATAATCCTCAAAACAATAGATGCACAAATAATGAACAAAAGCAACTTGCACATGATTTGATACATATAATTGAGAACCTAAGTTGCTCCGACACGTTAGTTTAGGTGCCGCACCCGTGTCGACACGACACTAGTATGGGTGTGGGTATGGGATCCGTACCGAATCTGGTCAAATAATTTTGGGTACTTTGACCACGACGGACAGAAAAATTCGAGGCGAGATACAAGTTGATTCACAAAATCAGAACCAAAACTAGGGTAAATTTGATGAAAATAGCATACCTTATCTAGGAAATTAATCATTTACTTATTTACAACTTGATAATAAAAAAGAAATCCATACTTTACAAGCTATACTTGTTTGGACAGAAAATTTGATGGAAGTTTTTTCCCAAAAAAATTCACTTTTTTTCGAAATCAGCGTTTGTTCATAAAATTTTCAATTTTCACTTGAAGATGCATTTTGAAAATTTTCAAAATTTTGAAAAACTACAAAAAGCTGTTTTTTAAAATTTTCACTTAAATCACTCATAAAACTTCAAAAACAACCCAAACTGAAATTTATGTCCAAACACAACTCTAAATTTCAAATACCATTTTCACTTGAAAAAAAATTTCACCATTTTTTTGAATTTTACAAGTCTTATGTCCAAACGCCTACTTAAGTATTCTACAAAACTTTTCATAATTAAGAGATATTTTTATATTTTTATTTTTTTAAATTATATTTAGCCGGATCCTCCCACCCGTATCCGTACTAGGATCCAGATCTCCGAATCTTAGAATTTACATCTCGAAGGATCCGACCTCTAGATCCGCACCCGTTTCGAACGCCCGCACCCGTGTCCGAGCAACTTAGTTGAGAACTGGACATTTTTTTCATTTGTTTCATTATTACTACAAAATAATGAACCAATCATTTCTTCATTATAATGTTAGCTTTATCTTCGTATAATGCAGTCCCACGAGGAATCAACATTAAATGGCTCTTGTTGTTTTACAACTTGCATTTTTCTTTTGGATTTCTCACCGTCAGCTACTTATTGCATTGATCCGAAATTCGATTTTTCGGTTTAACCGAAAACCGAACCATTAAAACCGACCACCGAATCAAACATCGAACTTTTTAAAACTATAAACCGCAAACCAACCGAATAAACCGAAAAATCGAAATCGAATAAACCAAAATTTTTGGTTCGGCCGGTTTTTTCGGTTCGGTCGGTATTATGCCCACCCCTAACTTAGTTGTGTGGTAAGCAAAATACGTACCAACAATTGGAGAACCGCACCACATTAAGCCTATGATAAACATGTCCTTATTTCATATTTTTGTAAGAGACTATTTTTAAAGTTTCCCTCTTCACTATAAAGTGTGAAAATGTTAGACTACAACCTATTCTTTTTGAATTAATTTTTTTTTTATTTCGTTAGTATGAGGGAGAATATTAACTTATCTAGTTGATAATGGTTAAAGATATATGATTTCTAGATAACACATAAACGATATGTGATTTTATAAGGATTTCTCACTTTATAAAAAATTAATCCTGGTAAAAACTAATAAGCGATAAACCGGAGATTATTTAAGCGATCATAAATAATACATATGCGATTTCTGGCTAGATAACACATAAGCGATCTACGATTTTACTAGGATCTCCCACTTTATAAAAAATAAGCGACCAATCAATCAGAGATCACTTAGGCGATCATAAATAATACTTGGACGATTTCTAGGTAACACATAAGTGATCTATGATTTACTAGGATATCCCAATTTATAAAAAAGATAATCATGGTAAAAATTAATAAGCGAGCAACCGGAGATCACCAAGGTAATCATAAATAATACATGCGCGAATTCTAGGTAATACATATATAATATATGATTTCACCAGAATCTCTCACTTTATAAAAAAACGATCTTGATAATAACTAATAAGTGATAAACCAAATCAATTAAGCGATTCACTACACCATATCTCAGAAAATCAGAAGTGCTCTGAAACTGATGTGTCCCCTCTTTATAAGTTCTTGGGACCCGTAGGGCCACTAACTAAAAACTTTAATCCTACTAGACATGAACTTCTATTGGTCTTTATACAAGGCCATTTAACTAATTCACCCATACTTTTTCTATAGTTTCAACAAAACACCTGTTCCAACACAGGTTTTACAAGCATTTACAGTGTAGTAGAGCAACATGAGTAGCTATGCGAGTTTAAGCAGCCAGCAAATGACATTCTGGACATTTTGATCATATGTAGTAGCACATTACATTTTTACTGCCACCTTTAACCTTCCTTGTTTTTGACATTCTGATATAGAAGGCCTCTAGTAGTAAGAAATAAAACAAATGAACATTTTAACTGTAATTCTTACCTGCTTTTGTTACGAATTAAATTACTCTACAACCCCTGCCTCAGAGACCATCTTCAGCAGTGCCATTAGAGACAGTCTTACTACTCCTTTGGGAAGTCCTCTTGGTAGCAACAAGTGGATTCTCCTCATCAATTTCTTTTGATACTTCAAACTTAACCACTTTGAGCACAGGGTGCAAATAAGCATCCTGTAGATATTCTTTCAAATTGAAGTTTGGTTCTGTACTCCGTTCTACTGTATCCTTCACCACTGCATCCTGCAGAGTGCATTTAATCTTAAAAATCATTTTCCAAGTTGATTGACATAGAAATATTCCTAGAGGAATCTATCAACAGTAATCTTGTACTAACAATATCCCAACTAGTTTGGGACTACTGCGTTTTTGTTGTTGCTGTTATTGTATAGAAATTTTCTTTTCAATGATATAATTCCAATATTGGCGTCTCATTGCTTAGAACATAAAGAGTAAGAGGTAAAGAACACTAACCTGCAAGGGAAATTTGACAAAGACGGACTCAAATCTGCCCTTGCAAAGTTTATGGAACCAGATTGTCAAAACTATAAGTACTATCAGCAATGGAGTTGATTTGGCAGTATCTTTGGTGCTCAGGAGACCGATTAACAGAAGCTGGGATATTACCAAACCTATAAGTATACGACGATTGACATCTGGCCAAAATGATGCACCACTCTCATACTTCTGATCGTATACATTAATGATCTAGCAATAAAGAACCAATTTCAGAACCTGACAAATTGAAGGATACAAAATATCGAGAAAGTAATATTATGCATATGATGCTTGAGGGTTTTGTAGAACGTTCAAGTTTGGAGACCTAAGAAAAAGATGATCTTATCTAAAATAGATGAAGCTGCATAAAACCACTACAAAAGCGATAATTTCAAGCTGCCTTCAAGAGAAAATAAGGCAATAATGGTGCAAAGTGACTGGAGAATTTTGGGCAGTTAAATGAACTGATGTTAAGCCAAAATGCAACTTCAGACATTGCACATCATGAAGAATATGTAAACAATGTTTTCTACATTTGCTTTAATGGCCATACAGCTTGGAGATCACTGAACTTTTTCTCATTGGTTTAACTCATTATCAAATATTTCATCTTGGGTTCCATCTCCTTAACAAATATCTACGTACTATATGTTCCAAAATTAATAGCAAAACGTACCTGATGGCGGAAAACCATATAAGCAAACGCAAAGAAGACAATGATGAAAGGCAGGAGTATTGGTGTGACCACTGAGTACACAAGGCCTAGGAGGAAGTACAGTTGTAATCGAGGTTCTGATACAGAAAAGTTTAATGAACCAGGGTCCATTGCCTGCTCCCTGTCATGGTCTGTCTTTACCAGAAATGTATTTTTAATGTGAAACATGACTAAAGGAACCAATCTCAGGATCTCTGCAGCAATTCCAGCCCAGCCATCAACCATTATGAAGGTAATAAAGAAAGTAGCTTTCATGGGAAGAGTTACACCAATAGTTTTTGGAATCCTGCATCGCAATAAAGTTTTAATAATTGCATCTATACTCAAGTGCAAAAGAAGAGATGTTTGCAGAGTATATCATCTGTAAATAAAGGAGCTGTTTCATATCAGCTGCAGAGCTATAATATGTTGAAGGGGAGCCTTGGAGCAACAGTAAAATTGATCCCCGGTTCGAGCCATGGAATCAACTATTGATTCTTGCATCAGGGTAGGCCGTCTACATCACACCCCCTTGGGGTGCGGCCCCTCCCCCGACGCTGCGTGAATGCAGGATGCTTCGTTCACCGAGCTTCCCTTTTTCAGAAAGTAGTAAACCTTTAAACATGTTCAGACTTCTTCTTCTAAAATGCCATTTGAATAACTCAAAAGTCAAGTATTTCAACACCACACAAAAGGCCTAATCGATCTGTCAATGTACTGTATCTGCAAGACCTTTTTTACACATCATGCAAATGGGAAATTGTCATGCGTATGCACTAAAATTGAAAATTAATCATATGCTGCTGACAGATAAAAAATTTCGGCACTGTGCTTGATCAGGTCACAAGCAGGGATCAACATTAGTTGATATAGTCTATTCAACATCCTGGAGAAGAAATTCTAGGAAGTGGTCAGCTCTTAAAAGCAAGGATTATCATTCTTTCAGGCGCTTCTCAGTAGTGATAAATAAATCCAGATGATGTAGACAATCATAGGACTGATTTTTTATTTTTTTTTTTGCAGCCATATAATGTATTTAATCTTCTTTTCTTTACAAGCACTCCAAACAAAGACTGGCTGGCTGTCTTCCTTTTAGATGAGAAACGGAACTCACTCTGTTGGAGACTGATCGAGAAACCTCTGAAGCTGTTGAAATGCAGCACCAGTAATGATACTTCCAAAGAACACATTGACAATGACAAACAAATGATATTTAGATGCTGATCTTCTGTCCAAAGATGAGAGCGATGTAAAGCCTTCTATTTTTGACATGATCATAAGAATCATAGGAAGAAGAATCAGAAATATCTTTAATACAATCCCGGGTAGAAAACCTTGGACAAATGATTTGACAACATCCCTGTAACAGAAATTCCAGTAGCACGGACATTAGAAATTGACTTTCAATGTACTAGAAGGTCCACAAGTGCAAATATATTCAAAATAACAGTTAAGCATTGAGTCTATTCATTGCAACATAGAAAAAGTGATTCCATACAAGATGTAGGCAAGGTAACTGCAACAAGTAATTCACATGAACATTGAAGGGGATCACTTACTAGGTGAAACAACTTAATAGTTTATACGACTTCTTTACTTCCCAGGAAACTGCACCTAATAGAAGCATTACTTATGAATCTCTGCTGTTGTAACAGAGACAAATAAATTACAAAAAGGCAGTCTTCTCCAAAGTTTAGCTCATTTGATCAACTCTAGAAGCTAATATAGAACTGGTAAAAACATTCTCAATCTCATCCAGTATATTCAGATGTTTTCTTAGTTCTTTTTAAAAAAAAACTATAAGCACACATATAGCAAATTTATCCAAGTTAGAAGTATCACTTACATTTCGATTAATGACTTCAGGAACGGAAGAACCTTTTTGATGCCATCAATGCTTGCGAATGCTTGAACGAATCCAATTGGGATCATAAAAAAGAAAGTAAGAAAGAATAAAGCAACAGCCATTAGCAGTCTCCGGACAGCAAGTTGAATATATGGTATTGAAAGATTATCCCAATAGACATCACGTGGTTCAGGAGCCCATTCTGTCAACCAAATGGTTGAGTTTCTTGATTGTTGTGTTTGAGCACATACAGCTGCTCCCCAACGAGATTTAAATGAGACAAATGCTGCAGGAACGATTGCGTTGGGATCACTTATAACCTTTTCTCTTTCTTCAGCTTCCTACATCAAAGGGGAAAGCCAATTACTGTAGTGCCATAAAAGATTTGCTATAAAATGTGTTAACTGCTTTAAGCTTTCTCCACTAGCAAAATTTACATTTAGTGACTAATCTGTTACCTCCAAAGCATCATCTTAGCAATTGAAGGGGTGAAACCAGCAAAGTCTGATGGATTTTAGAAGTAGAAATCATTTTATTCCCAGTACGTAAGTGACATGGTACTTATTTTTACGTTATTTAAGGCTTAATTGTTGTTGTTACACTACATTAGATTCAGTAGTTTAGTCTTTTTAGCCTCGTTAGAGACTTGTTGAAGTGTAGGGATAAGTGTGAGGTCTAGTTAATCTCTAGGATTGGAGAACCCAAAATTGTTTAAAGACACAAATTATTTAGTAGTTGTTTTATACCGATTGAGTGATCAAATTGTAATTGCATAACAATCTCATGCTTTTAGAAGTCTTAAATGTCCTATACACAGTCCCCTATTGGCAGATTTATGTCTATAGATTCAACCAAGTGTTCATTGAAGCAGAGTGTGTTTTAGTTGCTTCTTCCATAACATACATCTGCTGTGTACATTTGCTTTATCAATGCAGCTCATTTCACAAGAAATAAAAGAATATAACATAAAAAATAAATGAGTTAGCCATATAAAATAGGCACAGGAATTAGAAGCAAGTGTAACCCATAACCCATGGTCAGAGAAACTTACTTCTTCGCCCAACTTCTCAATTTCAGTCATATAATAGTCGATGGCATCCACGGATTTTCCCCAAAGGCCCCAAAAGCCTGTCTATACATGACAAAATATGAGACTCAGTTATGAGCAGAAACTCAATGTATACATTTAACAAGAAGCAGAAACAGGAAAATGCAATTGAAACAAAGTCCCGATAAACAAAGAATAATACCTTAATTTTTGGCTTCTTCACAGGGTTCCTCTCATACTTGGTTTGGTAGTACGTAAGCCAATTACGGAAACTCTTTTTCTTTTCCACCAATTCAGCAAGCTTATTTGCATTGTAAACAACCTACAAGTAACATCAATTTAAGGTTCATCTGTTGTAGTAACTGCACAAATACCGCAGTACATAGGAATGAAAATGGTTCTACTCCTAAATTTCTCATAATCACTAAGCTAGATAGAACACATTTTTTTCTAAATAAATGCCAGACCAAAGATACTTTGACTACGTAACCAGAGAAGAAAGAGATATGATATATCTTTGCCTGTCAAATACTGAAATACTTCATACATAAATATTCTAATACATTACAAACCTGATGTGTAAGATAATGATCTGGATGATTCACACGAAAGAAATGTTCAACATGCTCGTCCACTGATTCATCAGGATCTGGTGGGACATTTTTAACAAGGACCTATGAGAGAAATCAGAATTGGTAAACTAACCAAACGTTACGTTCATAAACACTCAAAACATTTACGGTCAACAAAATACGTATTGCACCCACCGTGAACTGATCAGGCCGACGGTTTTCAGAGGCAAGAAAATGCAGTCTCATTGTTGATATTGTCTTGTATTCTTTGTACAAAATATAGAAGGTCCAAAATGTGAATACATAAGCCATCATCACGTGTGCCCAAAACCTGAAAGAATATACAACTAAGTTTTCCATTAGGAAAAATATGCAATGGCATAAGTCTCCTCCTTCAGGAAACAAAACAAACATCAAATTTTCAACCCAAAAAAAAGCATATTCTTTTCATTCATTTGCAAGCATTTCTTGTAATCATTCGTGCAGAAACTATACTCCCTCGGGCTGCCAAGAATACTAAATGAAGAGCGCTATCTGGTATACTATCTATTTTATGCTATAGAATTGAAGAAAACAACAAAGGTACCGATTTTGTGTCACAACATCTGTACATGACTACATGTTCATAAATATCTTTTACAAACATACAAAACGTATATGAATTTAAACCCTTCATTATAGCAACTTATAATTTTTGACAAATATATTGACGATTTCTGATTTGCATTTGTTCATCAAAGTAATTATTCAATGTGGAACATTTTCTACCAGCAAACTCATTTTATAAAAGATGGTTGTATAGAATCAAGTATCCACTTACAACAATAACATCAAGCGGAGGTACTAATACAAAATGGAAACAAGTCAACCCTCACCTCTGTGATCCTGAAGGGACATTGGATATGGAAAGTCTATCAATATTACTGAACGTTAGATCCTCAATGTGCTCTAATGTTTCCCCAGCAGTCCAATTAACAGGCACTAAAACCGCAAAAGAAAGCATTGTGATAGGAACAAAGATTTTCAAGCTGCATTGATATTTCAGGAGTTAGATAATATACAAGGAACTTTGTAAAACAAGTTTCCAATATCTTCTACTTATCGTTTTTTTAAATTTCCAAATAGAGCTCTTTGTTATCATCTCCTTATGAAATGGCAAAGGAAAAATGCAAACCTTGTGGGACTCACCCAAGAAGGTAAATCCGTATATACACTGCAGAATCAAGACCAGCATGATCTATAAGCTCTTGTTCTGGCATTTTTAGAGCTGCAGGCATCCAGTTCAAGAACCTAATGTATGTTCTGAAGTCCAAGTTTACAAATTTATTCACAAATGCTCCAGAACTTCTAGGACTTGCTCGTATACCCTTCAAATACCATTTAGGGAAATACACTCTGTCATTGATTGGCTGAAGCCGTACAATTGCAAAGGCCAAAAGGAAAACAAGTGCGGATAGTAGGTTTATCACAGCTGAAACAGAAATATCTTGAACACTAGCCATATCTCCCTTGAAATGTTAGCTGTCACCTGTTATTTGGGTGGAAACTTTTTAGAATATTTCTGAAGGAATTGACAGGGGAATGACAAGTAGAGATTTCATTGACAGTTTGAATATAAACTACGAGATACTATTTTGTTAATTTTTTCCATATTTCTCATTCCAAAGACAAACCAATTTCCACTCATTCCTACTGTTAAGAGATAATGATATAATGTCTAAAGGAGTCAAACATGAAATAACGTCTAAGGAATTAGAATTGAGAATGATTTGCAACCATAAAGTTCATTGGCATTATGCATACAAAGAGGGAGCTAGTTTGCTTCGTTCGTATTTCAGAAATGTCGTTCAGCACCTTTTGCTTTATCTATTACCAAAGACAACAGAACGCTTGAACAATGGATCTGCAAGCTTGAGAACACTACTTGCTGGCCAATGTTTAGCAATTATCAATAGTTTGACCATTTAGCAGTCAGGAGGATTTCAATCCATAAGCTGGTGCTTCTAGAATAAACTATAGCAACTTCCAAAATAAACAACCAACTTACATAACTCACACCAAACTTATCAAAAACTTATTGAATATGACATTGAGGGCCCAGGATAGACCAATACTGGCTGAACGAAAAAGGAAACAGTCTTTTAAATAAAGCAGCCTGAAAAATTTGATCGTCCAATCCAAAATATTGAGCTTCAGAAGAATATTGAAGTAAGGAACTAACCAGAAAAAATGCCACAGCCAGAGGGAAAGGCGGCGACGTAAGATTCTGGCACACAAAATCATCCAAAGAGAGAACGCACAAAAGTTCTCGCCTTTCTTGTGATCATAAGAGGTCAGAAGAAAGGAAAAGTTGGGTTTAAAAAAAGGTCCAATTTGTTTTGAAAGAGAAGACATAGTAAATAGAGTTTCTTAGCTGGATAGAATTGGTCGGTAGCGGGAGCTGAGAGGGCGGCAACAAGAATGGACACGGCACGGCCGGCTTTTGGAGGGACGAAACCCATGTATATAATGCGTGTCCGTGTTGCTAAACGGATAGCACAATATTTAATTTCCTTAATACCAAATCTAATTAAGTTTCGTGATTAACTCATACTCCTATATACTACTACTATAAATAATATTAATATGATTTACATATAATATAACATGTTATTTTAATATATTCTTCTTTAGTTTATCAGCTGAAGCAATTGTTACTAGTACTATAAGTTATTGAAGGTTAATTTAACTTGATGGATTCATTAGTGTAATATCTTATCAAGATTATTTGAAGTGAAATAGTAAGTCTTGTCTCTATATAAATTTACGTTATTTACTCCTGTTATTAATGTGTTGAATGCTCAGTGAAGACAAATGTTGAGTGCTCAACTTGGATGCGACCAAATTTGTTTGCTAATTTTGCTTCACGAAAAAATACTTACATGCACTTTACTATATCAATTTAAACAATTTAACTTCAGAACTATAAATTGAAGCGAGAATTTATATGTTATTCAAAAAAAAATTAGAGTAGGAAATATATATCTAAATCGCACATTTTGCATTCATTTCTTAGCCCTACCTAGTCAAAATCTTAAACGTTGGCTAATTTGGAAAAAATTTATTTTGGGTGAGAGTCACCCAACAATAGTTGTATGATTGTATGAGGACATTCTCTGCTTTTGACAAGTGTAATTGTGGGTCCATTTGCTGACATTGGATTGATTTAAATAAATAAAAAGAAAAGGTGAATTTGTAGTTGATAGAAAACTTAATAGAGAAATGGAGGGAAAGAAAAAACGTGAAAACCATTTTTCCTCCTTAATTACCAACTTTTGTCATCACAATAGAGAATAGACTCCAACAAAATTTCTCACCACTTTGTATTGTTTATCAACATAGTCCAACGAATGCCACAAAATAATACTCCATATACATTTTGTATATATCTTTCTTCTTCTTGTTTTTTTTATTATCATAGTTTATATCTTTCTAAATTCATCTTCGATCAGTTGCCAAAGCTTTAAAACTGAATCTTTAGAAGTTATTCATCGATATCAATATGTAATATAAAATTGCACTCACAAAATACTCTTCTTGTCAATATCAGTATGAAATACAAAATTATGCTCACAAAATACTCTTCTTGTCGATATAAAATTTATCTTCTTGTTAATAAATTGCTCCTTATTTTGGTATATAAATACAAATATGTGCCCACTGACATTGAGACTTTTGCATTTGATCCATTTTGCTACCATACCAATACAAAAATATTATTTACTGTTGAGGTTTTTATTATTTAAAGATGAAATAGTCTTAAAATGAGGGTGAATGGGAAATAGAGGGAAAATGAAATTTTTGAGTA